TTTTTTTACTTAACTATTTCTAAAAAAATGTACCAGACATTTTAAAGAGTTTGTTTCTGAAAATATTGATGTTTCAAAATGTTATTTTCATTAATGTCCTGATTTTAATTTTTTTTTTTTAGTTTTWAGAAAAATTGCGAATTATTTAACACCGCAGTGTTATCAAACATACCACTCGCCATGCCGCAAGTGTGCTCGTACGGCCGGCTGAACACTTTTAGTGTGCCTAGTTATAATCATACTTCATTACTTCAAAATTAAAAGAAATATTAAAAATCAGGAAATTAATGAAAATACAATTTAGGAACAAAAAAAYGACTATCATTAATTTTAGGGAAAAACTTAAATAATAAAATATATTTTTTAATTTTTTTACCAAAACATTAAAATAAATTTAAAAGTGAAATAATTTTAGTTCTTATCCATGTGAGTCTTATTACAAAACCAGAGTTTTGATATCTCCATTACTTTGGGAGATATTGCAATGGGTTAATCCTTGGGAGAAACCTTGTATATGTAAAAGCAACATTCTTAGCAAAGCTTAAAATATAATAGAAGTTAGGTTATTATAAAAAAACATAAGTTATAATACATCAATGGACTGATGGTAAATAACAACCAAAACCAATATCTGATAAAAACTATGTTATATTGATCATTAATGAAAATATATACTAATTAATTATTAAATATTCTTTATATTCAGTACTGTTTTAAATAGTTACTTTTAAAGTTTTGACAAAATAAACATAATAATGTTGCTAACAAACTACAAATCGAATAATAATAATAATAATAACAACAAATAAKTAATAACTATATAGTGTAAGGGAGTTTAAGGAATTTCTATTATTAGATTGTTTTTTAGATTTGCTCATCAAKAATTTCTAAAATTAGAAATGGAATTATTAGATATTCATCTGAAATACTTATATATTGAAGTTAAGTATTTTTTTTACAACTTAAAAAATTTCTTCAAATTTAGAAGGTCATCCTGGAGGTTTTAACTTCAATGACCTGATATGTTTTAAGTAGGCAACAATTACTTTCGTTGATATTGAAAGAATTTTATATAAAATTATTTTGATATTTTGACATTTTATTTATTTTAAGTGATTTTATAAGGAACTSCAAATAATCAAGTACCTGAGCAGTGGGCCCATTATATTAATTGTGTTACAACATTATTGCATTAAACATAAATTAAAATGGTGCAAAAACTAACTTTTCAGTGCTATAAATTCACACTTTCACAGCATACA